CGATCGGACACAGTAGGAAACGGACACAGTGCGGATCGGACACAGTGCGGATTGGACACAGTGTCGATCGGACACAGTAGGAAACGGACACACGGTGGTTGCAATCGGACACAGTGGGAGGGTGCAGGGGAGAAAAGCCTTCCTGTTCACGTGCGCTCACGCATGTAAGCCTCCTTGCACCCCTCCATGCATGTGCTTTATAATTTTGCTTTACAACTTAGCATGTACTTTATGTTGTAAAGCGAGGTCCACGCTGCCTACCGACGGGGTAGGTGCGGGGGAGGGGGGGCCGAAGGCCCCCCCTTCGCACCCCTCCGTGTGTGTGTATGTGTGTGTGTGTGTGTGCTTCCCACGCATAATTAAACTAATGAAACTCCCAGCGTGAGACCTAACTGCTTGAATCGAGATGCTTGGTTATTCTGCACGATTGATTCATTTAAAATTGGCGCAGTTTTACATGCGCGTGTGACCACTGAGCATGCGCATGTGGCCGCAGGGCACGTTCAGTGTTGCTACATGTCGTCGGTATGACAGGAATCATAACCTGATTCCTGTCAACTTTAACGATTAATATCTCTCACTTTTTTCTGCCAGATTCTTTCGTTTCGTGCAAAAACGCGTCGATTGAGCCTAAGTTCATCAAAATCGGAGGTGAGGGTGTAACCGGACGGTACGTGGGGAGACACGAATCAACGCGGGGTGTCCTTGAATTCAACGGTCGCCACTCGGTTTGACCTCTGATATACCGAGAAGGTAAGTATCTATCGAATTTTCAATCAGACTAATTATTCTTCTTTTCAGGTTCCTGCCACATGAGGATCATCGCCGTCGCCGTCCAGGATCGCCGCTGCCACCGTCTTCCAGGATCAACGAGGGATTTCGAGTGATCGACGCCAATGGATCAGGTATGGTACAGAAGGTAAGTCCAATCGAATAATTTTCAAGAATTTTTTGACAAAAGATTGTATAATTTATTCAATTTGACTGATTTTCATTCACAGTTGTTCACAAATATCGAAGTTACACAATCTGTCGGACGATCGCACGTTCGGGCTGACACGCCCCTTTTCGTTACGACGCACAAGATTTTTCGGCACTAATTCGCCGTTCGCTTATGTAAAAGCAATAATTAACGCGTTTCGCGGGCGTTCCCGGTTGTTATGGAAGTTACGAGATTACGATTTGCGCACTCGGATTACGATCGCGGGACTTAGCGCGACAACGAGAGTGTATGCGAAATTACGTGTTGCTCCGTGAACTATCCCCGAGAGACTGCCACGAGTGGCCCGTCTTGCTCGGCCTCCCTACCATCTTTAGCCCCCACTCCGGCGCTTCTTACAACTTTCTCCTTCGAGAAGCTTCCTAACTGCGCATGTTTGTCTCGGTAATTTTCCACTCCGGTGTTTACGCGGGTCTACATGGAAATTTCCATGGGCGTTGCGCTCGCGATGCCCTGCCGTCCTGACGCCAGGGTAGTGGTTTTCCACTGTCTCGAATATGCGTCCGCCGTTGACGCCGACCTGTGCGCCTATGCTTATTTCGCACGCCTTTTATGATTCCGGGCGACTTCCCCAGGGAAGACGTCCGGGTGACGCTCACCACGTCTGCCGACGTCGCCGACCCATCCTGACGTGTTCTTGGGACCTGGTATCCCACTTTCCGAGGTCTTTCCTCGGCGATGACGTCCGCGTCGCGATCTACCGGACGGTACTTTAACTCGCGATCCGATCTTCGGATTTCGACGGCATGCGGTACGGCGCTTATCTAGGCTCTCTCCGTTCGTCAGAGCAACTCAGTTCCCGGAGATGACGCACCTGGTGCGAGTTTGCGGACGGTACGCTAACTTGTCTCCCGGTCGTCGGAGTTCGACGGCGCGCGGTACGGAGCCTAATCTGGCCCCCCCCTCTCGTCAGGGCTACTCAGTTCCCGGAGATGACGCACCTGGTGCAAACTTCCGGACGGTACCCTAACTCGTGACCCGGTCGTCGGATCTTGACGGCGATCGGCCCTGCCTCGTCCTTGGGACATCCCCTTTCGTCAGGGGCGGTTTGTCCTCGCAGATGACGCACCCAGTGGAACCCTGCGGACGGTTCCCTAACTCGCGTATCCGTTATCGGATCGCCACGATTTTTGGCTATGTGACCTTCTCGTGCCTTGTAGTTTCGTCAGGCACCGCGCGATATCACGCCCCGATCGTTTTCTCGTAGATTACGGACGGTCCGCCATTTTCTATTCTCGCGGTCGAAATGCGATCTTTTCTAGCTACGGTTGCTTCCCGGGCTCCCCGATTCAGTCAGGGACCGTTTATTAACGCGAGAATCTTTAATTAAACGAAATTGCGGACGGTCCGCCATCTTGGCTCCCCGAAGCTGTTTTTCAGCGCCGCTGCGCCCTGAGTATTTCCGACGGTCTGTCGGTACGCCGTGGTCGGTTGTTGACCTCCGCTGGTCCTTCGTCTCGATATGGGGAAACGCCCATTCAAGCGACTCTCCTTTCCTGGAAAGTGTGCGTGGCTCGAGCCTTGCCATGCGGTTTTACGCGTTCTGAACCGTTCGCGCGCTCAACGGTCAAACAAAATAAACTAACTATGGCTTGAGCCGGTGCTAACTGAAAAATAAAATTTTGCGCGACTTGTCGTAACCTACCGACTATGGCGCCGGATGGGGTCGTGTTGTCGCAAACAAAATCTTGACCCTGCGGGTCACCAAAAC